AAAAAAAACAACAACAAAAAAAAAACATATTAAAAAAATATCCCTGAGCTTCTCCGGTCACCACAGAGAAAGACTCTTGGCAGACACTTCTGAAAACTGTGAGAAACTCAAGTGAGCAGCATGACACACCTCTGGCATGGAATCTTCACTGCAGCTAATTCACAGATACAACACAGAGAAAAATCCCTGTAAGGAACAGCTGAACAGGGCAGTGGAATATTCATTGAAGAATTTTACCTTCTTTCTTTTGTTAGCCACCGTCTGGCCTGCGGGGGCGTGCCTCCTGGGAGATTTTCCACTCCTCTGTGGCTTCATTTAGAATTTGTCAGAAGGTCTTTCAGAAGTCAGCCCCTTCATCTTCTATTGCTGTTATAAAGCTGCCCATGGTTATATTCCAGTGAAGTTTCTTTAATGACGGCTCGCTGTTAAAGTGTCGTGACTTTACTGAGGCTGAGCCAGGTTGTATCGTCCATTGGATTCAAGCCTTTAACACCTTTCTTTTATTTGGCTGGATGAGACTTTACAAGGCCACAGCCTCCAAAATCTCTGCAGTCACACACTGGACGGACAATGTGAATAAGCATGAGTGTCTGTTGGAATGTCGTAGAAGAAACACCAGAGATTAGTTGACTGTCCACAGTGAATGAAGGTCGTGGTGGTAAAATGTGGACATTTTGGATGGCTTAGCTTATAACTTATGTTTTGTATGTGGTGCAAACATAGACTAGAAGAGTAGCTTTTGTCAATGAACCTCACGCATCTCGTACACACCCACCAGGAGCATTTAGCTGATGTGGACTTCTGTTTCATGATAATGGTCTATACTTTGTGTGTGTGTGCGTACTGTGTGCTTGTATGCCTGTATGTGAGTGCACATCCAGAGATACACTGTGAAAAAAGTCAATGCATTATTCAGATTCTTGTATACTTTTGAGACACGCCCTGACCAGAGCTCACCATCTGGCCAGCAGAAGCATTTGTGATTTTACAGATGCTGGATCTCAGTTGAATCTTTGCAGATGAATCTTGGGGTTTCTTTTCTTTTTCAACTTTTCCTTAGTAGATAGAGATATTTATATTGGGGAAAATATGATTGAAACTGGTGAAACAGCTACAGTAGTATGTCATAACATAAGTTAAATTGTGTCATTAAAATCCATTGTGTGATGAAATGTTTATTTGGAATCCTTGCCTAAATTTACTATATTTTTATTTTTACTATATATTAAGAAATGCTTTGACCAGCTAAAAGTGGTGTTTGCTGATTTCAGAGCCTTGATACTGTATATACAGTACCGGTCAAAAGTTGGACACACTTCTTTCCCTGCCAGGAGGTTAAAGAAAAGGGGGAGGACAGAAAGGAGTTTGTCTGAGGAAAGAATAAGAGATAGACACAATAACATGGACACCAGTGAGATGTCTAAATACCACAGGACAGCACATTACAGTCTGCAAGATGAATTACAGTACCATTTCTCTGAGACAGTCTTCAAAGCTAATCTTCACAAAGGTTGTGTTTGTTGCAGAACAGATTCAAGAATTTTATTATATTGTAGAGGTGTTCCTATTAATGTGTCCACTCTGATTTTTGTCTTTTATTTGTACTTTGTATCTTGTACATCTCCATCTTAATGTATGCATTTGAGAATATAAAAAGGGCATCTGCTGCCAGGAGCTAAGGAGTGTGTGTTTGGTGTGTGTGCGTGCACATGTGCCAACTGTGGTTTGTGTAGTGACAAAATGCCAATTTCCACCTGATCCCATACCTTTGATTTCCTGTTGCTTTTATTTATTACATCTTTGGTTTGCACTCAGTGTAAATAAATTGTCCCTTTGACTCGACTCACTTCCTGTCAATGCAGGAACTGTGGCCATAGACGCACTCAGCAGGACGGTGGGAGCTGAATTATTTGGTAAGATCTAAAATTGAGCATAAACAAATACTGTATCTGGACTTTGCTTGTTGACAATATTCTAAAAAAGTCAAAGTCAAGCAGTTGCCAACACATATCATTAAACTTTTTAAGCTTAAGCACTAAGCTGCACTAAGACTTTATGGTTGTCAAAAAATGATTCACTACTCAATAATGCACATTAGGTAGTAATAACTACTGATAGACTGCTTAATTGGTTGACCGGTTAATTGGGCTGATATTTGGCAGTTTTAGATGTCTATGCTCATAAGGCCAATTAACAAAAAATGTCTGCAGTTACATCTTGGGGGGGGGGCTATGGTCTTTTGAATTACCGTGGACATTTTTTTTATTTAAAATAATAAGGGGAGTACAGACTGTAGCAAACAGATTGTGCTCTTTTGCAATTTTCAAATACTTGAAATAATTCAAGTATTTTTATAAATCAATGTTAAATAAATGTTCCTTAAGTTCAGCTAATTTGTCACATTTGTTATTCAATTGTTTTACTTTATCTGATGCAAAAGGAGAAACAACAACCTGGTAATGACTTCAAAGCCCCTTTTCCACCGCCTGGTACCCGCTTGACTGGACTCGTTGGAGATCGTACCTGGTACTATTTTTAGTATCACCTTTGTCCAGGTTCCAAGTGAGCAGAGGTGATACCAAATGGTGGCATGTAAACACTGCAGACTAGCGACTGGTAAGAGAAATCGTGTCATCAACATGTGACGTCCTGAAACAAAGAAAGCACCATTTTTAAAAGCAACATTATTTAATGCTAACCGCTACTTTACCATACTACTGTGCTAACTAAAAACAGCTACATACTGAGAATCAAGACAGGCAAACCTTTAATGTCCTCCACTGTTACTGTGCTGATGACTTCACTGCAGTGTAATGCAGTATCACTATGACAACCAGCTACACTGAGAGGGGACCATCAGCAGTGGAACACCAAGCACCTGGTACCAAAAGTGAGTAGAGTCAAGTTGAGCAGATACCACGTGATAGAAAAGGGGCTTACATATTGCCCCTCAGTCTCCCTGCTCTCTAAAAATTGGCATCAACCACTGAAAAACCCTTATTCACTAGACCACTACTGAAAATGGTGTGATCCACTTTAGGGGTGTGTGACAACACACTATACAGTGCAATGTGTATTGAGTAGTGAGTGGTTTTGGATACAATAAAACCTGGTCACAAAGTCTGATGGGAACACATAAGTATCTACTACATTGTTGCTGGTTATCCAAATGGAGCTCATCACTCCCCCTAGTAGTGATGTGCAATACCACTTACTACCTTTCTGATTCAATACCAAGTAAAATTCAGGCTGGTATCAATGATACCAATACAGATATCGATACTTTGTGCAACAAAACAAGGAAATGGGTCTAGATAATAGACTGATGGAGGAGAGCAGATAGGCTATAGGGTGTATCTTTACGGGTTTGTCACTTTTATTAACAACAAATGATGTCACCCTGCTCACATACTATGAAAAGGCGCATAGCAGCCCAGATACTGAACTGTTGGTGGTGGGATTGCATCCATACTACATACATACATGGACCTTTACATGCCATCTTGTTTGTTGTTTACTTCCTTCCACTCAACAACCACATATGAAATCTGCTCTGTTGCCAAGAGACTCCTGATCAAAAGTTTTTCTTATTTTGCATCGTCTTAGACATTTACAGAGCTGTAGTCTACATATGACTTTCCACCGGGCATTATCCTCAATAGTGTAGTTACTGTCTACTGTGCCCTCTATCTAAGATAAAATATACATTTACCCCAAATTAGCCTACTTATTTTAGAGATCAGTCTTTTAAAATGGGAATCGATCCTAGAACAGGAAAAACTGGGATCGGAAGTATTGATATTTCAGGATTGATCCGTACATCATTACCCCCTAGTGTCCCGAAGCACTTCCCCCAAAGCAAAATTCTTTTGCAGCAATTATAATTAACTATATTGTAATGAATCCTAATTCATTCCTAGACTAGTATAACTCTGAGTCTTTTATTCAGAGTACAGGTCAAGTGACAATGAAAACATTTGTAATTTGATTACATGCAAGAATACAGTTCAGTATTTTTGGAGCACTTCACATAATACATGAATAATGTGTATATTTTTATTTAAGTTTAAATTAATCAGTTCTTTCAAAGGAATCTCACTTGAAGCCAACAACTGATAAACTCAACACAACTAAACTCTAATAACTATCTTGGAACTTTGTCTTTCTTCCTGTGTTCAGTGCCAAATTACAGGACTCTGAAATAATGGGAGCATGTAGGTAGAGATATTAGATACAAGAAAGGTCAGAATACATTATCATCATGAATCGTAGGCGTTCCACTTTGCTATAGAAAGAAGACTCAGAAAATCTGAAAACCCTTCCTTTACCAGAAGCAGGCAATGAGCTGCCACGAAGCTGCTAAGACAAGCTACAGCTACACTCTTTATTCTGGTTGCGAGGAGAATCATAATGTTCAACAGACCCCATTATTATTCATCATTATGCTTATTCTTTTACTGGCTTATGACCTTTGTCAGAAGAAAACATGCATCATACAGGGTTGTAGAAAGTCTTATAATGCATTTGGTAGATATGCGCTTCAAAGAAAATTACCACCCTACAAAGATTATGAGGGGGACACTAGTGGAGAAAATATGATTAGTGGCACCAATTAGCACTAGCAACTGGGAATGTGCCCAGTAATTTACAGTAATTGTAGTTGTTGTGGATGGATAGACATAGAGCAAATGTTTGCCAGTCATGGAATAACAGTGATGTGGCAACAGATAAAGGGCCAAAAGTCACCACATCTGTATGAGAGCTTTATTTTTGAGGTGCTCACCTCAAGTGTTCTCAAGTAGCTACCATTTGTGTCAGTGTCGCAGATCCCAGAGAATAATCATGCAACGTAATAGCTACTGACACTTGAGCCTTTCAGGCTGCTTTTCTACTTTCAAAAGAGTAATTGTCTGCACTTGTGGGATATCTTTCCTCTC